TAACTTTTCCAGAAAGCTATGAATAATCAAATCATATCCCTTCTTAAAACTACAGCTTGTTGTTTTTACCCTTTTGTGAACCTTGGACACAACTTTCCTAGCCGTTTCCAGTCTTTATGCTAAGCTAACTGACTTAAGAAAATGTTTAAAAAAAAGTTTTGCCGGGAAAATCTTTCTAGAGTAAAGTTGACACTTATTCTGGCCACAAGAGGCTGACGTGCACTAATGTCCTATGTTCTAATAAATAGGACTAAAAACATTCATGTTCACTATTAAAAAAAAATATTCTGGCATAATGTTATTTTTACACCTGTTCTCATAAACACAGGAGAGAAAACAATTTAGAAAATGAGCACCAGATCTTTTTCTCACTTGCTTCTCAGTCTCAGAGCTTCCGTAAAGCACTGGGCCAAATCGGAAAATTTGTTTCTATGAATCGGTTAATTAAAACTATTTAAATTCCACCAAAATTGCTGTAAATCATCGTTAGATCTAGACAATCAACTATTTGTTGTGATACTATATAATATAACAATACTACAGCATTTGCAGTCATTACCTTCACATCTATATTTATGTGAAATGTAATTGGGAGACAGTGGAAATGTAGTTTCTTGCTCGGGCCTGTTGATCTGTCCATCTATTAACCAGACCCTCCTGATGGGCCAAATATCCCTACCTGCCTTTCTTTCCTTACCTTCTCCTCTACTCATTCCACATTTATGTATTGTGGGGTCTCACTTGCCTGCCTGCCTGCTACGCTGCATGTGCTGATATGGCTATCTCTTCGCCAGGTTTCCCAGTCCGTATGCCATCCCGCCTGCCTGCCATCTGTGTTCGTCTCTCTGGAGTCTTCATAACTATCTCCTCCTGGCAGGGAGGTGCATGTCAAATTACATACAGGGTGGAAGGGCTCTGAACAACTTGAAGATGAGGAGAGTAGTCGAAGCCTGAGCAAACAAAAAGAATAATCTCTCCCCATGTGCCATGATGCGATCTCACCAAATAGAAGGCAGAGTGAAGCATTCTTAACATTCCTCATAAAAACGTGTGTAAGGCTTGCGACTAAACGTGTGCTCGGCTCGGCCTCGCCCCGCCTAAACATGGAGTTCTGGTGAGGCTCGGAGGGAGGCGGAGGTGTGAGAGGAGATGAAGAGTAAGGCATGATGCGGTGATGGAAGACCTGGTGGAACTTGTTTGGCAGTTTAATATTGGATTGCATCTCGGACCAAAAGAGTACAGATCTTTAAACTGAGCTCTGCACCTCAGTCTTTCTGGCACTTGTAGCACTTGATGTATGCAATTTACAATAAGTGGCAAATTTACTCAGAATCTAAAGGAATACTTGAAACAATGGTTACTTGTCTCATTTTTAGTAAGAAATTATCATGTACACTGACCCAGTCAGTGACATAATTTATAGATATATGTGTATATATAGACATATTTAATACATTAATTCATTATTCTCTAAATGAAAAAAGGAATGAAAGTGTCCCATAGCAATTTACCAGTACATGAGGTGACAGCTTCTAATTTCTTTTTTACGTGACCAGCAATGAATCTATATTAATATAAAATGGAGGAAAACACAATTCATCACATTTGAAAAGCTGTACACCACAAAGTTTTGGTGTTTCTTGCTTTGATAAATGACTTTGATACATGTTCAGTAGACTGATAGTTTCAGCACTGGAACACTTTTACATTTTCCCTCAGCTAAACAAGGAAGGAAAGTGCATCTTCAAGAAAAGAAAATACAAGAACCATGACTAATTTCCACTTTAAAACCATGTTCGTAGTTGCATTATGGTCACAGAATGAGGTAGCAGAGATTGACAAGCTGAAATACTTTGCACATCTTGCGTGTGTTCAAGTCTGCATTGTTTCGAACTGCTCTGGCTTATTTATTGGTGCCTAATGGGTCTTTGCCCCAGGCAGTGTCTCTTTGTGGTGAGCAAGCCAGCAGAGAGCAGTGTAGATGGGATGCTCCACTGTCTCTTTAGTGTGCAAGCTCATTGTCTGCTGTCACGTGTGTTTGTGTATAGTGTGTGCTTGTGTTTGCTTTTGGCTTAATCAGCAGTGCTGAGTTCAGGAATTCCAGTTCATCAGAGAGAGAAAGAGGGAGAGTCAGCAAGATATGAGCAAGTAGGAGAGAAGATGGGTCTTCAGCAGACAATGGATTTCACGATACAAAGTAAAGGTCAAGTAGTAAGAAGAGGGCTGAGAGTTTAAGGGGATAAGGAGAGGCTTGAGTAGCATTGAGGTTGTGGCTCGATTAGGGTAATCACTTTTTTAAAATCAAATTTGAATGAAAGAAAAGTGACGAGTCATGTAACCCCGGTTCATGTGTGTTGCCACCACTTGTTGTCATGATACGTTAAGAAGTTGCAGCAGAAAGCCTTCCCTTTAGAGACAATTTCTCCATCTATTGTGTCAAATCCAAAAAGGTTCCACACATGAATAGTTCAGAGGATGGTGACTGTAGAGCTTATATATGTAATTTTTAATTCTGACTGACCATTGCAAGTCAAATCTTTATACTTTCACATTTCAGTAGTTTTAATTTTGGATAAAAAGTTGGTTCTTTTGACTCTGGCTTGGTAAAGCACGAACATTTCTTTGAATGTCAGTCTTTGTGTTGAGTTTGAGCTCTTTAATCAGAATCAAATACTTTATTGATCCCCAGGGGGTAATTGGGTTAGGTTACCTGCAATAACTGATTTTGTGGCCACTTGGGGGCAGTGGACACAAACAAAATTGACATGTTATCACATTCTAAGTGAATATGGCAGTTGTTTATTTACACATAAAGCAGATACAGGGCAACATTAGCATGTATTTGTTTCTTTCCACCTGACGAATGTAAGTCATCTGTGAAGTCTCACTGTGGTAAAGGAAGTTCCGCCTCTTTGGGAAACACTCCATAAAACCCGGAGGCTCCCTCCGCAGCCTGCAGCTTGTAAACCCGAGGGGAGCCGTTAGCTTGAGGCCCGCTGGCAGAGGCCACGGTTAGAGCCGAGAGCGCGCACCACAGCAAAGACATAGAGGAGACCTTTTTTTACCCGGAAGGTGGTGAAAGTTTGACAAAATGCATTCTGCCTCAGTGGAATTGTTGAAAGGTGTTCAAAGGGGCTTTTCAGCCACGGTAGCGGGATGGCAGTGATGGTCGATCCACCACTTTGTTCCAGACTAAAATATATCTATATATAGCATCAGAATGACTGGCATGAGATTTGAGAGATTTGGTACAAAGATGCAGTCCACAGAGGACGGGTCCTACTGACTTTGGTTTTCTTCTAGCGCCACCAGCAGGTCAAGGTTTTTGCTTATTCTGTGAAGTATCTCAACATCAAGAATAAGCACGAAACTTTGTACAAATGTTAATGCCTCCCAGGTGATGAAGCCTTTTGATTTTGTTGATCCCCTGACATTGCCTTTAGTGCCACCTGCAGGTTGACATTTCTGGTATTTAGTGAAATGTGTTGACAACTATTAGATGCATTACAATGCTGTTTGGTACAGACATCCATGTTCTGCTCAGGATGAATTGTAATATCTTTAATGATCCTTTAACTTCACATATAGCACCTTCCTTAGATCAAAATGAGTCATTTCATGACAAATACTTGAAAAACTAAAGACTAAATACCCATCAGCCCCAGCCATACTTTGTGTTTAATGCTTATCATCAAATGTTAGCACTCTAAACAAAAAATACTGAACACAGTGAACATAACAGCATGTTCATGTCCATTGCAAGTTAGCAGTTGGCTCAAAGCACTGCGGTGCCTAAATACGGTCTTGCAGAGCTGCTAGCGTGGCTGTGAACTCCTAGTCTTGTTTTTACTCCCAATGAGCAAATTCATTGCAGACAGGTTGACCCTTCCCTTCCCAGTGGGGAAGCCACGGGCTCTGTGGTATGCACCAATTAGTGTTTTCCCTCTTCCCCACAAGCTCCCTTGACCTGTGAGCGTAGCTGTAGCCAAGTGGATGACTCAAGGTGACTTGGTTCTGTACGCCGGCTCAGAGAAGGGTCTCGGCTGTTGTACCATCGCTTTCATGGTGACAAATTATTGTTTGAAGTTGGCCTTAAAGTTCAGCCACTAAGTGACTTCATTTTCTAGCGGCGGCGCGTCTCCATTACTGATGATTCAGTGATGATATTACATGCGTGTCTCGTCCAAAAGAGGGAGAGTTGACATTACAGCGAGCAGGTTATCTGATCTTGCTGGAAAGGGTTTACTACAAAGTCCTGTCATGCTCAGAAACTAGAGACTTTTTGCAGCAAGCTCCATTACCGTCTGCCCCCCCCCCCTTCCCTGCTCTTACTTTCTCCTTCCTGCACGTGTATTCTCTGTTTTTCTCATTAGGCAGACAGATAAATATGGGTGTGCTCGGGTTCTCTGTTATGATATCTTTATCGTGTGTTTACTTGTAGAAGATGTAGAGGTAAACACTGCCTTTTATCATACCCTCCGTGCAGCGTTGGCCAACTAGTCAAGTAGATTTTAGAGGTTTATTTGACAATGGTGATTTGTTATGGCAGAGTACAGCGAGCTTACCCACGATGAGTGCACTTTTGTACAAAAACCAGAATGGGGCTTCCTCTCATTTGCTCCATTTTCTTCCTGTCTCCTTGGTCGTCATTCATTTCTCTCTGATCTCCTCCCAACAACACACCCAGCCCTCTTCCCTCTGTTTACCTTTCCTTCAAGCAATCTCTTCAACCAGAGTTCTTTTTTACATTTACTTACATGGTTTCTTTGTCCTCTATTACTGTGTGAGAGTGTTGCTCGTACTCGTAGTCACTCTACCTCCTCCTTTCTCACTCCGTCCTTATATAAACACATTCAGGGACTTCAGTCTTTGTGTCTACAATACGTTCTTACAGCTTTACCAAGAAGGGTGTGTTAATGGATGTGTTGCTGACAGGGTGGCTGGTTTGGTGTTTTAGTGATAAAGAGAGATGTCACATTGACGTGTGTGTTCTGTTTCAGATGAGAAGCCCGTCCAGGAGGAGGACTGGGTAGTGTGCCAGCACCCTGAGTGTCCTGAGCGCCGGAGGGCCTCTAAGGTAAGACCCTTAATCCTGCCAAGAAGGTCTGTGCAGGGACAGATTTCACCCAGGTAGCTCACCTGGTGTCACTGCAGTGGCCATGGGTTTGACTCTGACCTGTGGCCATTTTTCACCTCTCTTACCCCCCCCTTTCCTGTCACTCTTGAGCTGTCAATTAGAGACAGTAAAAGGCCAAAAAAATATTAAAAAAACAAAACAAAAAAACAAGTGCAACAGTCAGTAGGAATCCCTAAAGGAGTAGTTTGACATTTTTGGGTAAATTTGCTTATTTGCTTTCTGTGTGTGGAAATATTTCCCCAAAATGTCGAACTATTCCTTTAAGTTAGAAAGTAGTCTTTCTTCTGACAAATCAGCCCAGTCATAGACCCAAAATATTGAATTCTGATAGTTGTGATCACTTGTTTTTTGTCACTATCTGCCAGCATTTGGACAGTAGAGAGATGAGAGTGAACGAGGGCACAGAGAAAAAGATGGGAAATTACATGTAACAAGGTTCCCGGCCGGACGTCGTGATTGGAGACACGTTTGTGTTCAAGTGACGAAAACCTCCAGCACCCATAGCAATTAGGATTTTCATCCATCTGAACACTAGAGCAAATTGTGCGACGTCGTTATAGAGTCACAAAGTCTGCAGAGACAGGTCGGGGTGGTTGAATGGGTTAACGAAACGTCAGAGTTTGCCACGGTACACTTCTGTTCGTTTCCTGTGTCCTACCGACAGGCAACGTTGGTTTCTTTTCTCCATGACCACAATCGTTCCCAAATCTTTACCAAGTAGTTATTATTGCAACCATGATGACAAACGTCCCTGACCTGAACCAAGTAGTTATTTCAACCCAAACCATGATCTTTCCTTAACCCTAACCAAGTCGGTTATTTTGTGCCTAAAACTAACCAAACTTTAACCTTAAAATGCTTTCTTTTTCTTTTTTTTGCAACAATGATTTGAATATATCGGATCAGCAAACACTTATACGTGTCGCTTTGAGAGCAATTACATACATCGTAGTAATTTGGAGGACTTGTTGTGCTATCAAGTGGCCAGCGCCTCACACCCTTAAGCCACCAGGACAGTGGTGTCCCCTTAGAAAATGCCCATATGGGGTTGCTGAAAATCTTGGGGTTGCACATTAAAACCAAAACCCGCTGGAGGGTTTGGAGTATTACACGGTCAAAAGCAACTGGCTGGCTATGCATTTACTATTTTCACATTAACAGTTATTAAAAATATATATTATACTTAAATGAATAGTAGCTAATGTAAAATATCAGATACAAGCATATTATGTGACTAGCACGGGGTATTAGTAGGGGGGTCATGACTGCCTCTTGGTGGCGCTACTGCACCAGGACATCTCAGAAAGTGTTGCCTAAACAAGAACTAAAAATAAAACAGCTTTAAAATGAAGATGCACACACCCTGACTTTGTCCCTATAACTCCTGTGATAGCTTATAAGCGTTTTAACCCTTGTTGGATGCACCCCAGAAGTTACTGCATCTCTCCTGTGTCGCATTACAACACAGCGGAGGTGCAGCAGCGAGTGGCAAAGCGGCTTTTCTTCTTTTAGGTGTTAAAAGGGGCGTGCGTGTCGGGTCTCTGTGTCTGGCCACTAGACTGTGAAATGAATTATTCCTTTGAAGCCACTGGTTTCTGAAAATGGGAGTCTGGCCAGAAGACCAAGGGAAACCGACATAGTGTCTGGTCTGTCTGTCTGTCTACTGTTTTGGTTTGTCTGCCACTAGAGCCGAACATTAGACGGATTTTCCCATTGAATCAAGATGTCCCTTGCTGTCCTCATTGCGGAAACCATGGAAAAGGAAGATGACAGAGAGAAAAAGATGGTGAAGTCAGTCAGCACGTGGAGAGAGAGATGGTTATATATAGTTTTTTCTCCATGGCAACCGAGAATAATAAAGTGAGGGAAGAAGAGAGAGCTGAAAGAGCTGAACCTGAATTATTCCTGCTGCCTTTTTTTCTGCTCCACACATTATTGTGTCTCCCAATCCCACTTTTCCCAGTCCTGTTTTTTATAGTCTTTTTTTTTTTAAAGATGTGTTTGCAGAGTTGTGAATGAGGCAGAAGGTGAGTTCATGTGCTGTGTTTTAAAGTATGTGGATGCATTTGTGTTGATATGAGCTGCTGTTGCACAGGGGGGAGGCAGTGTGGGACAAAGCATGTCTGACGCCACTGGTCTCCTTGGTCAGGGTTGATGTTATTATGTAAGGAGATTAGGGAAAGACTTGGCCCAGTGTGGACTGTGGATGGGCAGAGAGGAGGAGGAGGGGAGCAGGTTGACAGCAGATACAGTGTGCAAAAAAGACAAAGATGACCAGAGAATCAGTCTTTACCTACAAGGTAACAATTTAAACGATAATTTAATCTGATTTAGCAGCATTACAGTAATTTAACATATGTTTATTATGTTTTCTGCCACTTAGGGACAGCAAAACAAGCTGTAAGCACAACATTGACATATTATCACCTTATAAAGTTGATATGGTGAATTTGTTAGCAAATATTTGTCAATTTACACATAAAGCCTAACATAATCATAAATTTGGTGTCGCGTTTGGACAGCTGATGAATTTAAGTCCAACATTCCCTCTGCTTGTAGCTGGCTCTTTAGCTGCTACATGTTCCACTATGTCCACCAGCTGGTCACTAACTTGGTCTGTCTGCTGTTTGGTGCTGGACAGGCAGCGTACAGCGGCTTTATTAGAGCTTTTTCCTGAAAACGTTGCACACCACAAAAGCCAAACAATGAGCTGAAAGACACTATAAAGCTCTATAAAGCTGAGGGGAACTGTAGTGTCGGGTGATAATAAGTGACCCCTTTCACATACAAGTATTTGTTTGTTCCATTGTCAATATAATATATTTATTATAGCAGCTTTAAACATTTTACCAAACTAATTGAAAGAAATATAGATTTTCAGGTGTACTTCTACATCTACATTTAATGTCTTAAGACAAAACTTCCAGTGGTGATGAATACTTTTTTATAGGCACTGTATTCTTAAGGATTAAGGAACCTAATAATGTCTAAAGTCAGACAGTCAAAAACGTGGTCAGTAAGCAGTGAGTAAAAGGAATTCCATTTTAAGATTTATCAGTTGGCTTTCAGTCTTTCAATGATTACAACATGATGCATCAGTCATTTTATAAACACTTAGTCTTCATTGCTAGAACAGAAAGCAACGATCTTTCCGTCCCAGTAAAGAGGAGATAACCCGAGATGTCACAATTCCTAATATTTCTTGCAATTTTAATACTGTGAGGTGTGAATAACAACGGTGAGAAGGTGAGTCATTATAGTTTGGGCATTTCTGGATCTGACGATGTATTTCTCATCTGGCTCAATGCTGTATGAATGTTGCTCAAGACTTATTCATGCATTGCCTGTAACAAACTTTAAACAGCAGGGGGCAATGTCATGGCTACCCTGACCTACAGGGGCTCAGTCTGTTGCTTATCCTCCTCTAGAGCTCACTCACTCTGCGTTTGGTCCACAAGTGAGGAGACATTTCTAAGAAGAGTGAGAACATAAATACATCCCTTGACTTTAGCCCACTCCACCCACTAAACAGATTTAGACGCATCAAAGAAGGCATTTTACTCAGAAATAAAAAAAAAGAAACATTCAACTTTTATATTTCACTTTTAAGAGTTTTTTTTAAAAAAGTACTACTCTTTGATATGCCGGCGGCTTGGCAACAGGACACAGAGCAGGCACAAACACAGACAGACAGACAGAGCGAGGGAATCTTAGGCCTGGTCCTGCGCTGCATTTAAACCATTTTATTCCCAGACAGGCCTGCCTTTGGTCTCCTACTGCCATATATCAGCTCCCGACGGGGCTGCGTCTCTTCCAGTCACAGCATGACTGGCCTGGAACTGAATGAGTTCACCTGCACCATAATTTACTGAAATCACACCAGGTGTCAGCCTCTGTACTTGTGCTGCCATAGCTCAGCGCTGTCACCACATTACACAACAGCACTCAAAGGCTACTAGAAGGCTTTTAAAGGGCCCGACACATGTGTTTCCAAGAGGGCTTGCTGGTGTATTTAGATGCTTTGCTGTGGGTTTCTGCAAGCCAGTGGGATTTAAGATCAGCCTGCAGGTGTCCGACTGGAAGATGACGTTCAATCCAGAGTTAGTTCTTTGCCGAGTTGGTGGGATTCATTTCAGATTACGCTGGTTAGCGTTCAATGCTAGTCTGAGCTTGTTCTCTGGATTCAGACTCCCACATAGAAGGGTTTATTATCCCTGATCGCTTGCCACCCCCTCCCACCTCTTAGCTTCAATCCCCGTCTCCTTCATTTCATCCGCTCACTCAGCTTCGACAAGGCAGGACCAGACAAGACTACTCGCAAGGTGTGGGTCGCCTTGGCAACGGGCCCCTCCCAGTCCAAACAGCTGGAGGCACAGGGATAATGTGGAGAGAGAGTCCAGGGTTTGACAGAGACCGAAAGGATGAGAAAAAGTTTCGGCTTGCTTTCACTTTGGGCTTCCTCTCTTCCTGTAAGCGCAGTTCCATTCGCCTGTAATTCCAAAAAAAAGTCAAAAAACAGTTTTTACACCCTGACTCACTAAAGTTGACTAATCGATACAAACAAAAGAAGATAGAAACTGACTGGCGAATGTGACTTGTCACTCCAGCTTTCGCTCTATTGAAGAGATGGAAAAAAAGCGGCAGATGAAAAATCAAAGCAAACAGATCTGTGTGGACCAGTGAGACTGTAACGCTCTCAAATTAATACACAAAACAAACAATATCGACATCATGTTTTCTACATGGTTTTCTAATGTCGGAGGTTTGACTAGTGCTCTTTTAATATGCTATCTTGTTGCTCTTCCTCTGTGGTTCGGTGGCACCTGACTGGAGAATTCGCTGTTTATCTCAGTATTATCTATTAATAGTATTATCTAGTGGATGGAAACATCATTTTCTTTGGCAGATTTTCTGGGAATTCTGATAGATTTCTATGGAAA